CTCAAAATCCAAAAAAAACCAAAATTCCCCGAGTTTCCAAAAATCCGAAACTGGGGTTGGGATTTTTGGATTTTTGGATTTTTGGAAACTCGAGGAATTTTGGGTTTTTTTTGGATTTTGAGCAAATTCCTCGAGTTTCCAAAATCCGAAACTGGGGTTGGGATTTTTGGATTTTTGGATGTTTGGAAACTCGAGAATTTTGTTTTTTTTGGATTTTGAGCAAATTCCTCGAGTTTCCAAAAATCCGAAACTGGGGTTGGGATTTTTGGATTTTTGGATTTTTGGAAACTCGAGGATTTTTGGGTTTTTTTGGATTTTGAGCAAATTCCTCGAGTTTCCAAAAATCCGAAACTTGGGTTGGGATTTTTGGATTTTTGGAAACCCGGGTTTTGGTGAGATTCTTTTAGGGGTTCTACACTCATGAGAAATATGAAATATATTAAAAACACAGAGAGCTATGCTAGCAACAGCTACTGGAGTTTAATATTGATTCCTATTCATTTTAATCAAATGCCAAATAATTGGAATACGAGTCTGAGTAATTGTAACAGCATTCTTCTTCCTAGTTAGTTCTAATAAAAGTCTTAGAATTTTAATAAGCTTCATAACACATTTTATACATATTCCTATTAATCTCAATAGGCTTCTTATTCATTTTCATAAGATGTCTTACAATTTCTAATTGGGTTCCTTTTGCTTTGACAAGCTTCCTATTCATTTAAAAAGGCTTCTGATTAATTGGAATAGGCTTCGTATTCATTTTAACAGGGTTTCTCATTCATGTTGACAGGAAGTCTAATAATGTTCATAGGATTCCTACTAGATTCCACAGTGCTCCGATTATGTTTTTAAATACTGTTCCCTATTCATTTCAATTGGACTCGAAGTAATGTTATTGTAACTCTTATTTGTTTTATTGGCAATCCTATAAATTAAATGTTTTAATAGGGTTCATTATAATTCTAACAGTACGACTCTTATTGTTTTAAGTTTTGAAGGGTCCACATTACTTTTTTTATAGAATTTTATTGGCTCCTCTTAATCCTTTAATAGGATTCATCTTCATGTTAAACGGATTCCTTTTACTCTTACAAAGAAGTCATAGATTCTTTTGTAGGGTTCCTATCAATTTTAATAGCATCCCTATGAATTCTAAAGGGTTCCTATTCATTTGAATGGCCTTCCTATGGTTCCTCTGAATTTAGGACGCCAAGAAATTTCAATAGGAGCTTCTACGTATTTCAACTAGGTTCTTATTAATTGTACTAGGATTCTTACTAAGTTTCCAAAAAGACTCGTCTTAATTTCAATAGGGTTCTCATTCATCCCTATTGATTTAAATAGGATTCCTATTGAACTCATACGAAGCCTATGAATCCTAATAAACTTAATAGGAACCCAAGTAAAACTAAGAGCAATCTTATTAGAATTAATAGCAATCCACGATGTCGAGCAAATTGTTCAGGTCCTTACAGCATGCGCCCTTCTCACATCTGTCTGCATCTTTCATTGCGAACACAAAACCGTACCAATCGAAAAAATATGCTCTATTGTGTGTTAACGTGTCTGGCTACTGTGTGCAGCTATGCTGTCCGTCGCGCCCTCAGCCTTTTTTTCGCTTCCGGGGTCTGTCGAGGGGGGGGGGGGGTGAGCATATATATATATATATATAATGATATTATAATATATTAATAATATAATATAATATACTACAATATAATATAATATATATATATATACACACCCTTTAAGGGCTGATAAATGGTACCTCTTTCCCTTATTTTCTACTAAGACCCAATAGGTTTTGGGGTTCAGGGGGATGAGGCCCCGACGCAAAGAGCGCAGCTGGAACTGACCAGCTGCTCCAAAGCCATGGCACTCCACCCCAGCTTGCGGGATTTAGGGTTTAGGGTTTAGGGTTTAGGGTTTAGGGTTTAGGGTTTGGGGTTTGGGGTTTGGGGTTTAGGGTTTTGGGGATGTAGGGGTTCAGGGGTTGAGGGGGTTTAGGAGGTTCAGGGCTTTAGGGTTTACGGGTCAGGGTGTAGGGAGCAAGGTTAAGGGGGTTTAAGGGTTTCGGGTATAGGTTGCCCTTAGTAGGGTTGTGTGCCCTTCATAACAGAGGGCCTGCAGTAATTCTAAAGCCTAAACCCAAAACCCAACACCCAAAACCACAGTGATGTTAGCAAGCAAAGTAGGCCCAGCTGTGCAAGCAATATGGGCCTCGGGCTGCAACTTCGTTCGGTTCCGAAGTGGAGCGGGGAGTCAGCTGCCACAATAATCAGGGTTTAGGGTTTAGGGTTTGGGATGGCGCAGTGTAACTAGCAGTTCATTCGCATACTATACGCTTGTTGCTCGCACGCGGACAAGAAAGAAACTTCCGCATCCGAATAAGAAACAGTTCTGAAACCATCGCGGTTCGCCAAGTATGAGCGCTGTTTCGGAAACTCTTAACTGCCAGTTATGTAAACTCAAGATGGCTGAGGTAGATGAAACAAGGGCTTGGAATTTAGGGTAGAATCCCCACAAGCCTTCACCAAATTGAAAGCCACCCACGCCCCCACCCCACCAGTCCAGCCCACACAAGCAACTGCGAGAGAGAGACGGAGCGAGCTAGAGAGAGAGAGAGAGAGAGACAGGGAGTGTGTGTGTGTGTGTGTGCGTGTGACAGTGAGTGTGTATGTGTGAGTGGGAGCAAAAGAGAGAAATAGCGTGAGATAGGAGGGAGATGGGGGAGAGATGAACACACGTGCCAGCGCGCGCTGCTTCTTCCGCTCCTCACGAGACGCGAGACCTCATTCGAGCAAAGCTGTACGCAAGTTTGGGGAGGAAGCCGCTGTGCTCGACCTTCAAAAGGACGCCACAGGGGGGTTCCGGGCTTAGGGTACGACATGGGGGGATACGTGTGAGGGATTCTGTGGGTGAAATTGTAAGTACGTGTAGGTCTTCTTAGAGTTGAGGGGGAACATCCATCATCCTAGTCCCACACCCATATCCCTGAGAGGTTTCTCTCGTTTCGAGATCAGGGATCATCTAGCATCTAGCAAGTTTAGGTTTAGGGGTTGAGTTTAGGGTTTAGGGTTCAGAGATCAAGGCAAAGCGGTTAAGATCTCAGGTTTACGGCCATGAGCACGCCCAATAGATGCCGCATACTGTAGTGGTTCCAGTTTTGAGTTTTGGGGTACACGGTTGTCGTCTTCGTTTCTCGATGTGCGCACTCCACGGCGAGATTCAAACAAGAGTCACTTGTTTTTTGGGGGGGGGGGGGGGGGGGGGGGGGGGGGGGTTAGGGTTTAGGGTTCAGGGTTCAGGGTTTAGGGCTAGGGTTTAGGGTTTAGGGTGTCAGGTTGGAGTGCATGGCAGCAACTAGCCACGGGTGCCCGAGCGAGCGCAGCTCGGCAAGCCGAAGCAACATCGCTCTTGCCGGAACACCGAACCCCGAAGCCCAAAAACCCATCCTACTGAACCCTAACCACTAAACCTCAAGCAAATGCAAATGTAGGGGGGGTAGGGGGGATGGTTCTCTTTTGGGTGTGGAATAAGCCCCAAATCCATCCTATTGCCCCAAACACATACGACTAACAGACTAACATGCAAGGCGGGGGGGAGGGGTGGGGAGGGGATGGTTCTCTAAATGATGAGTGGAGCCTCTAAGCCCCAGACCCATCCTATCCCCAAACAAGTAAAAGAGGATAGAGGGACTCTCTAAACTAGGGGTGCTTTCCTGGGGTACCTGTAATTAGTGGGTGCCTCATTTGTTTCTGAATAAAGGGATAAAGGGGTTTAGGGTTTAGGGTTTAGGGTTTAGGGTTTAGGGTTTAGGGTTTAGGGTTTAGGGTTTAGGGTTTAGGGTGGCCATAGCTTAGCACTTAGAGAACTGCTCAAATCGAAGCTGTCGAACAAACCTCTGCCCGGGCTCGCCAAGCTTGTCGTGCTTCGGTGTCTATGTCTAGGGTTTAGGGTTTAGGGTTTAGGGTTTAGGGTTTAGGGTTTAGGGTTTAGGGTTTAGGGTTTAGGGTTTGGGGTTTGGGGTTTGGGGTTTAGGGTTTAGGGTTTAGGGTTTCCTGAAAACGGCCCAAGTTGCTCAGAAACGAGGAGTCTGCGGTATAGGGTTGAGGCCTTTGGGGGCTTGAGGGGAGGGGATTTAGGGATTTTCGGCTTCCGAGGATGGGGCTTTACAGTTTAGGGTTACAGTGGCTAGTCGGTTGCGGGCTCGGTTCGTCTCTTCACGTGCCGGGGTGAGCAACCCTGCACACAGACCTAAATCCCTTAGAACCCAAAACCCAACCCTAAACCCTAAGCCCTCAGCTGCCCCCCACCGAACCCGGAATACCCGACGCATGTCATGTCCAGATTCTTACCGATAAACCCGTTTCTTGCCGGAGGTAAGAATCTGGCACTGAACTCGATAAGCGAAGACCTACTTGATTTGTAGGTTCCGAAGATCCGATGAAACAAAAAATAGGTCTTGTGCTCCTGAGCTAGGTCATCCCTCTGAAGCCCAAACCCCCCCCCTCCCCCCCCCTTTCCACAGGGCTTAAAGCCAGTTGCCTGCGGCCCGATAACCCCGAACCCCAAGGCCCGAGACGGTTTAGGGTTTGGGGTCTAGGGGATAGGCCGGAAGCGGCGGCTTTCTTGCAGCTGACCTAAGAACCCTACAAACCAGGGGTGGGGCTTCTGGTTGAGGGTTGAGGGTTTGCTTACACAAAAGGCGGTTGTTGGGCTCCTACATCCTACCCTAAACCCACCCTAAACCCTAAACCCTAAACCCCAAACCCTAAACCCTAAACCCTAGACTCACGCTAAGCCCCCTTTTTTGGCGGAGCCCGGGGCCATGATCTCCCACCCAAAGGGTCCATGTACCCATAGATACTTCCGACCTGAAAAGGGCACCCTAAACCCTAAACCCTAAACCCTAAACCCTAAACCCTAAACCCTAAACCCTAAACCCTAAACCCTAAACCCTAAACCCTAAACCCTTAACCCTAAGGGGACCCTTTGGGTCATGCATATTTGGGCCTTTCAGTGACCGACTCGTCCCCGCGTTCGCTTGGGCTCACCTCCAGGGCATGGAGCTCAGCAGGAAGTGTGGGGCTTGGGGGTTTGATTTTTTTGGTTTGTTAGTTTTTTTTTGGTGGGTTTTGCTTTTTTGGTAATATTTGGAGTTTGTTTTTTCTATTTGGGGGGGTTGTTTTTTTGGGGTGCTTGGTTTTTTGGGTTTGGGGTTTATAGGGTGTAGGGTTAGGGTTTCGGGTTTAGAGGGTCTATCGGGTTGACAGGGCTTAGAGCCTTGATAGGGTTTAATGCTGGACCTGCTTTATTTCGTGTGTTCCCCTACCCCCTCTCCCCCCCCCCCCCGGAACAGTCGAAGCTGATTCTCACCCTTTAAACAAGCTCGCAGAGTGACGTCGCTGGGGACGCCAAGGTAGCGTGCCAGAAAGCCCGCCGTGAATGACATGTTGACACGGCTTCTCAATTTTCGGCTGAACACGCACGCGAAGTTGGAGAGCTCAACAGCGAAGCGGCTTGTCGGATTGCAAGCATCCTGACGCTCCTCCCCAAGACTCCCAGGAGGCCCTATATCCAAGGGGCTATACGCTCGGATGGGCTTTTCGCTGCTTCTCGAACTGGAGTCAGCTTCCCACTCTCTGTGGAGGCAGCCCGAGCGGCCTGTGCGGAGATTGATCCGACATCAGGGTCGTGGTCGACCTGGTCGTCCCAAATGGCCCTGGTGCGCACACTGCGAGACCCGTAACGCGGGACAATGGCGGAGGGACCCAGCCCAACCGTTCGGCCGGTGGTGATGTAGGCTGCGTCCTTGTTGTGGTTGTAGGGCTTAGGGTTTATAGGGTTTATCGGGTTCATAGAGTGTAGGGTTTCAGGACCTGGGGTCTCTCAACTGGCCCGAAGCCCGAAATCCTAAGCCCAAAAAACAATGCCCGCACTGAAGCCCAAAGCCAATAAGCCCTAAGAACGAACATTCTCAGGACCCCGGCTGCCACGTCGTGATCTCCGCCGTGCCCCAACCCTAGCCCCATCATGTCGCGGTACCAACGACTCCATTTCGGGTTAGGGTTTAGGGTTTAGGGTTTGGGGTTTGGGGTTTGGGGTTTGGGGTTTGGGGTTTGGGGTTTGGGGTTTGGGGTTTGGGGTTTGGGGTTTGGGGAGCCCCCGGATTTTTGCCAGGTGCCAGCGCGGGGGCCGATGCAAGTATTGGCCCCCCCCCCTTCTGGCCTCTACATTCGCTATATAAATTACGGTACACCTTAGAAATATACCTAAACCCAAAAACCAAAAACTGATAAACCCGAAACCCTGAACCCTAAACCCTGAACCCTATAAGCCCTGAGCCTTCCCAGCTTTGAGATCGAATGGTCCGCCCTTCTCCCGTAGAATCCTGAGCAGCGCCAGTCACTCGATAGGAGCCACTATTGTGACAATTGTGCATGGGGCTTAGGGTTTAGGGTTAGGGTTTAGGGTTTAGGGTCTAGGGTCATGCACACATCAAGCCTGGTTGAGAAGCTCTTCTAGAGGCGGCGACCCATTTCTGAGGCTCATGTTTTGGGCCTCTAGGCTTGCAGGGGTAGGGTTTAGGGTTTAGGGTTTGGGGTTTAGGGTTTGGGGTTCAGGGTTTAGGGTGTAGGGTTTAGAGTTTAGGGTTTGGGGTTTAGGGTTTGGGGTTTAGGGCTTCTTCAAGGGCTCACAAACAGGGCGAGGTACTTGTTGCTGGTGTCCGTCACAACACAGCCCAACTGCATAGCCATGTAGTTCTGCCTCGGCGGAAGCTTCTCAGAACTGGGTAGTGCAAAGTGGGGTTTGGGGTTAGGGTTTAGGGTTTGGGGTTTGGGGTTTAGGGTTTAGGGTTTAGGGTTTGGGGTTTGGGGTTTGGGGTTTGGGGTTTGGGGTTTGGGGTTTGGGGTTTGGGGCTTGGGGCTTGGGGCTTGGGGCTTGGGGCTTGGGGTTTAAAGTTCAGGGTGTGGGTTTACGGGGGGGGACCCCTAAAATAGACCCCAAATAGTAGGATTTCCCCTTTTAATAAGGAACCCAGAAAGGTACCCCCTCATTTAATTTCGGAAACCCCCAAGTGCCCTAAGCTGGGCTCTCGTAATAGCAGCCTGATGTCGAAGCTACTTACTATACGTTCCTGTTGCGAAGAGAGCTCCTACTTCTCAGCAACCCTAAACCCTAAACCCTTAACCCTAAACCCTAAACCCTAAACCCTAAACCCTAAAACTGGCGAGGCCACTTGGGGATCGGTACGGGAAGCCTCGAAGTCCTCAAGCCCTCTAACTTGGGATGTTCCCCCTTTATCCTAACGGTCCTTAATCCTGAACCCTAAACCCTAAACCCTAAACCTTAGGGGGTACCATGCTCCCTATTAAGGACCGTGAGTAGAAGGGAGAACATCCCAACCTCTAACCCTACACCCAAAAAAGTTCCTTGAGTCCTTGCCCTCTCGGCACACTTTCAAGTTCGACCTGCCCTTATGGACAAAGCAGAAAGGAAAGGTTACGCAAGAGAGTTTCCGAGAAAAGGGGTGCCCATTTTTTTTTTGGGGGGGGGATCCCTATGAAGAGACTTCTTTACCGACCCCTAAACCCAAACCCTAGACACAAAGCGGGGGTGGAGCGTCCCCTTCTTGGGGAAATACCCATGTAGCCAATCTTTTTGAGGCTATAGGCGACTATGTTGGGCATTGGGGCGCCAGTCGTGGGAGGGTAGCATTCAGTGCGAAATTCTGGCGATTGTGCTGGGTTCAACTACGCAAGCTATAACTGCCTGAGAAACTACATGTGCCCGACAGGGTTTAGGGTTTAGGGTTTGAGAGCTCATGTACTACCCAGGTACGAGCATGGCTGGAGTTGTGACGTGGGCTCCATGCGCATGCTGCTCATTTCGAAGCGAATTTGGGTTTAGGGTTTAGGGTTTAGGGTTTAGGGTTTAGGGTTTAGGGTTTAGGGTTTCGGGTTTCGGGTTTAGGGTTTAGGGTTTAGGGTTTAGGGCCAAAGCCCGAAGCCGAAACTCCTAAACCCTACTTTCTGAGCTCTCTGAGCTAGACTGAGGCAGGGTGCACATTGCTGGCGAACAGCACAGGATCTGCGATTTCCTGGGCATTCATGTTCTGGAAGCTTTCTTGCAAACCGAAACCCCAAACCCTAAACCCCAACCAAGAATCCCAAACCCTGAGTCCTGAACCCCAAGCCCGAAAAAACCCTAAACCCTGAAGCCCCCAAACTCTGAGCCCTAAACATCTAATCGCGGAACCCTAAACCCTAAACCCTAAACCCCCGGCAGATGATTGGTTGGAATGTTGAGGCTGAAACATTCAGGATAGAATTAGGATTTGCGCAACTCTTCGTACCCTCAAACCTTCAATAGAAACTACATAAGCCGAGCAGCCCTACATCAGAATGTACCGTATATACCCGAAAAAATCCTAAACCATCCATTTCCTGCACTAAACCAGAAACCCCAACCTTATTCCGTGCAGAATCCTTGGCTATGGCCATTGTGCCCTGAAAACCCTAACCCTAAACCCTAAACCCTAAACCCTAAACCCTAAACCCTAAGCCCTAAACTCCCCTGGCTGGTTCTTACAGCGTAGGGAAAAAGGGAATGAGGACTCTATACAAACCCTTAAAGGATATATGAAGGGCCCTAAAAATTCCCTCATTCCCTACTAGGAACCAGGGGGCCGAACCTCACACATACCCTACTGGAGCCTTGAAAGCCTTGTACGCTCTAGAGGCCCACAGCCTAACCTTAAAGGCTACGACAGAAAACCCACATGAACCCGCTAACGGTTTCCGGTTTAGGGTTTAGGGTTAAAGTTTAGGGTTTAGGGTATAGGGTTTAGGGTTTAGGGATAAAGTTTAGGGTTTAGGGTTTAGGGGGGTGCCCTACAACACTGAAGATTGCTGCGACGTGGCCGCAGCAGTCGGCTCCCAGATTTCCATGACCTTTACGTGCCTGGGGGGAGACAAACAGGTGAAACCCTTAAACCGAGTCTACCATTTTGCTTAAGAACCATCCAAAAGACTAGAGAACATTTCTTCCTTCTAAGGGCAATATAGGGACTAGTGTTTTTTCTTTTGGGGGTTCATAAGCAAATGGTGGTAGTTGCTAAGTTCATAATCCACCCCCCCCCCCCAAATGTACACTTTCAGTTCTATAGGGGATTATAGTATCCCAAAAAGTGTGAAGTGCACTCGTTCAGCTACTAAGTCGTCTGTCTTTCTCACGCGTGACAGAATTCGACTTGAGTTCAGGGCTCACAGGCTTTTCAAAGCTTGTTTGGTTATCCCGCTTCACCCTGGAACGTAAACAACACCTTCTTTGAGGCGGATCCAGACAGTAGATCCCCTTATTATCAAGGAGGGAAAGCTGGATAGATCTCTAGATTACGCAGGGCTTTACGACAATAGGGGACCCCTAGTATAGACCCGCAAATAGTAGGATTCTAATAAGGACCCCAATATGGTACCCCGATTGTCCCCAACCCCCAAATCAGGGCTTATAAGGGCAATATAGAAAAATGACAAAAACAGATATTCTTCCTCATAAGAACAAATAGACAAAAAAAACATATATTATTCCTTATAAGCCCCTTGTGGTGAGGATGCCGCGTGCAAAAAAGTGGCCCCACAAAGCTGCGGTCTGGGGTTTGGGGTTTGGGGTTTTGGGTTTATAGGGTTTGGGGTTTTAGGGTTTAGGGTTTAAGGTCTAGGGTTTGAGGTTTGGGGTTTGAGGTTTAGGGTTTAGGGTTTAGGGTTTAGGGACTCTGCTTGAGTTTGGGACGTCCCAAAGGCAACTTTGTTTCGGTTGCGAGGTTTTGGGTGTATCAACTCCTCGCCATGTCACAAAGGCATGGTGATCTGCGACATGTACCGAATGAGAATCCACGGAAGGTCCTTTGGGTTTAGGGTTGAGGGTAGGGAGGGCGGGGGTGGGGTGGGGGGGGGGGCGGGGCAAGGGTGACAGCCCTGACACCTCCACAGCCCTGATGGGTTTAGGGTTTAGGGTTTAGGGTTTAGGGTTTAGGGTTTAGGGTTTAGGGTTTAGGGTTTAGGGTTTAGGGTTTAGGGTTTAGGGTTTAGGGAAGTAGGGTTTGGCTCGTATAGGATTTAGCCTTTAGATGCTTTCAGGGCTTAGGGTTCAGGAGCTGGCCTACATCATGTGCATCCTAAACCCTAAACCCTAAACCCTAAACCCTAAACCCTAAACCCTAAACCCTAAACCCTAAACCCTAAACCTTCTTGGCGTTCAGCTGCATCTGTTGACGAAAAAAAGGATACGCAGTTCGGGGGCATGTGTGCAGACCTTGGCATGCGGCTTTGCGACTCATGATGCGGTTTAGGGTTTAGGGTTTAGGGTTTAGGGGTTAGGGGTTAGGGGTTAGGGGTTTAGGGTTTAGGGTTTAGGGGTTTAGGGGTTTAAGGGTTTAGGGTTTAGGGTTTTGGGTGTTAGGGTTTAGGGTTTAGGGTTTAGGGTTCAGGGTTTGCCCGACCTCAGGGGCCAAATTGGAGGGGTCTTGGACCCCCTGCGACCCTGAACTCCGAACTCTTAATGCTCCAAGCCCCCCAAACCCTAAACCCTAAACCCCAAACCCTAAACCCTAAACCCTAAACCCCAAACCCTAAACCCTAAACCCTAAACCCCCAAACCCTAAACCCTAGTCCTATAGGGCAGAGAGTCGGGAGTCTAGTCAAGCAAGCAAGATTCTTGGCCAAAAAACTTGCATGGTAAACACTGACAAGCAGGTTCCGCATTCAACCGGAGAACTGCAGTCTGCCATGTGTGGGGGTTTAGGGTTTAGGGTTTAGGGTTTAGGGTTTAGGGTTCAGGGTTCAGGGTTTAGGGTTTAGGGTTTGAGCCTCAGGGCGGGATTGAGTTTCAGGTTAAGGTGCTGCAAGTGTGTGAGGCTCATATCCAAAGGCTTTCCAAATCTGATCAATTTTTGAACAACTTACTAACCTCACTGAAGCAACCCTAACCCTAAACCCCAAACCCTAAACCCTAAACCCTAAACCCTAAACCCTAAACCCTAGCAGTGAGATGAAGGCTGGCGTCGTTTCCAGGAGACCTCGTGGACTGTGAGACCCAGGCAGGATTCCTGACTTTGGAGCGGTTGTCTGTGCTTGTGCTTGGTTTAGGGTTTAGGGCTTAGGGTTTAGGGCTTAGGGTTTAGGGTTTGGGCTTTAGGGTTTAGGGTCTAGGGTTTAGGGTAGGGCTTACACCCCCCCCCCCCCCCCCCCCCAAGTTCACACCCCAAAGGAAAGGCTCCAAGGCCTCTGATTTTCAGGGCTTTGGAACCCAAAAAGCCTTCTCATACAAGGTTTTTGTTCCTGGGGTATTGTGAGCCTGACAGTTACAGTTTAGGGCTTAGGGATTCGGGTTCAGGATTTGGGGCCTAGGGTTTAGGGGGCTGGGTTTGGGTGTGGGGATTCGGGCTTGCTATAAACGCTCAGGGAACTTGGTACAAGGCGTTTGTTGGGACTTGTGCAGAACTTATGCATCTGACATGAATTGACCAACAGAAAGGATATCTTTATTTATACAGGTTTTGTTGTTTAGGGTATACTAATCCGAGTTGCTAAACTCCTCTTGTGTGCCCAGGTCCAGTAGAAGTAACTAAGCAACTGCCTCGGAAGGGGTTATAAAACACGTTGTAGTGAGTACTTCAGGTACACCGAAAGATGTGTTTTTGCTTTGTTCAGTTTTCTGTTTGCTTTGCTTGATGAAGGGCAAGGGAGGTGCTTCTGTAAAACCCTACGCTCTGACTACTAAGCCCTCAACCCTACGCCCCAAATCCTGAACTGAAATAACAACGCAAACCCAAGACACTTTTGTAACGTGCACCTGAACCCCGTCTAACCCTAAACCCTAGACCCTAAACCTGTCGAAGTTGCATGTTCGTGTAGGGGAAGCGCTGGAGGATGGGCAGCACCGGCACACCGGGGGAGAAGGCTCCCGTGTTAAAGCCTGATCGTCTCAGAACGGAACTTGAAGCGGGCGGGTTTAGGGTTTTAGGGTCTAGAGTCTAGGCTCTACGGTCTAGGCTTTAGGGACTTTAGGGTTCAGGATTTAGGGTTAGACGCCTTAAACCATGAGCCCGAAATACATAACTCTAAGCACTACACTTGTTTATTCGCCTCGGCTTCCTACCGAGAAGCGTCTGGAACAAGCAGACCCGGATCTGGCCTCCTTCTGACGGACCTCCCCCCGGCCCCCCGGTGGGACCCCCCTGAAAACCCCCTGGACCCCTGGGCTGGGACATCTGGGACCTGCCAGGACCTTTCTGGGACCCCCTGCTGCACTCCTCAGACAGGCCCCGCCCAGAAACCCTCTTTCCTCGTGGGCCGGCCCGGCTGCCGAGGCGGCGCGTGCAAGCGTTTACAATTATTTTTCATACAGACCCAGAGTCCGAGACTTTTGATCCTACATTCTAGGGTTTGGGGTTTTTGGTTCAAAGTTCAGGGTTCCGCTAGGCTTGAACCGTCTTAAACCATCAGGTTCTTATGCTTCGTTTTGCTTTGGCTTCGGGCTTAGGAACCTACCTTGTCGAGCTTCGAATAGGCCTGTGCTGAGTTCTACTGAGCCCTAAGCCCTATCCGAGTATCTGACTGTTTGATTGCTGAGCATCCTCCACCCTCCCAAACCCCCGAGGAGCCCTAGGAGTGAAAGAACTCTCCCCCCAAACTACCAACGAGAGTCGAGGTTGAGGGTTAGGGTTTAGGGTTTAGGGTTTAGGGTTTAGGGTTTAGGGTTTAGGGTTTAGGGTTTAGTGTTTAGGGTTTAGGGTTTAGGGTTTAGGGTTTAGGGTTTAGAGGCTTCAGGGTTTAAAGTTTAGGGCTTTGAAAGCAACGCAAACAAAACCCAACTGTCCAAGCAAGGTAATAGAATTAGCAAGACCGACCTTAAACCCCAGACGCGAACCAGTCTTCGGTACGTGATCATACCAGTCTTGCATTGTTCTTGCATTCTCCTGGTGTAAACCCGATATTCGCCATAAACGAAGTACCCAATCTACCGTACTCTGCTTCCAGGTGCCCTATCCCGGATAAACCCCGAGCCCCACACCCTAACCCCAAAATTCCAAGCCCCGAGAGTGCCAACCCCCTAACCCTGGAACCAAAGCCCTAAACCCCAAAACCCTACACCGCCCTAAACCCGAAACCCCAAACACCAAGCCCCTGTTTGCGCCCAGACACGGAAGAGATCTAGTTGAACCCTAAGCCCTAGCAGCGACCCAGTTGAACCCCTAAACCCTACACCCTAGTAGAGACTCCTAAACCCCCAAATCCCAAACTCTAAACACCAAACCCTAAACCCCCAAGCCCAGGCACGGTAGAGGCCCAGCTGGGAGTTGGTGATGCCCTCGGGGTAGATGCAGAAGGCACGCTTGAAGGGGTAGTTCCTGGGATGGCGGAGCGCCAGGGCTCCCAAGGCCGATGTGAGGGCTTAGGGTTTAGGGCTCAGGGCTTAGGGCTAAGGGTTTAGGATAATATATATATATATATATGTATATATGTATATATACATACATATATATATATACAGATATTATAGATGTATATATATATATAGATAGGTAGATCGTTTGTTTGTTTTTTGCTAAATCTATGAACGTAAAGGGGCCAGGGTTTGGGACCGTGATGCAGACTCCGGGTTTAGGTTTTCTTGGCAGCCCAGGAACCATCTTATGATCAGGGCGCCCTTTCGTTGGGGGTTGGTTATTTACCCTAAACCCTAAACCCTAAACCCTAAACCCTAAACCCTAAATCCTAAATCCTAAACCCTAAACCCTAAACCCTAAACCAGAACCCAAAAGAAGGGTGAAGGGTACCTGTGGGCTACCAAGTTGTAGGTCAGTAGCATGGGGGGGGGGGGGTAGTTTAGGTTAGGGCCGGCTAGAACCATTGGTATTTCAACGAAAGGGGCTCTTGGCAGCTCCGGTTGTGGGTTTAGGGTTTAGGGTTTGGGGTTTAGGGTTTGGGGTTTAGGGTTTATGGTTTAGGGTTTAGGGTTTGGGGTTTGGGGTCCGCCGACCCTGGCGGCGTGTTGGATGGGTTTGAGGAGGTGAAAACCTCCCTCTTTCCCTCCTTACCCCCCCAAAACGCGGGGGGGGGGTAGGGGGGGTCGGTGCACAATTTTTTCGTGGAGGACCGCGCCACCCGCACAGCGTAAACAGGCGGTTCAGCACAGGGGGTAGGGGCGCCCATCAGCATTTTCCCCGCCCCTCCCCCCCCCAACCCCCTCCCCCCCCTCCCCCCCAACCCCCCCTACCCTTTCTTTCCTGCCGCCCCCCCCCCCAAACGTTTCACAGAACTCTGCCGAGCAGGCTGGGATCATCTTCGAACCATGCGATGAGGAAAGCATCCTTTGAGCCGACGAGTGGGTTTAGACCTTTCAACTATGCTCCAGCGGGGTCGGCGGCTTGAGCCGGAGGCTCTTAAATTTAGGGTTTAGGGTTTGGTTGTTGGGGCTTTGGGGTCGGGCCTGAGGGTTGTTCATGGTGGACATGGGAAGTAGGGAAATTTGTGTTTGCGGTGGTTCCCGTGTAGGCTTTGGTGGGTTGGGGCCTTGGTTCTCGAGGTATAATTAGGGTTTGTCTGCGCACACACACACACACTCTCTCTCTCTCTCTCTCTCTCTCTCTCTCTCTCTCTCTCTCTTTGTCCTTATTTCACCCTAACCCTGAACCCCAATTCCGAATCATAAGCCCTACGCCCCAAAATATACAACCCAAACCCCAAGTCTCCAAGTCTACCATTTGCTGAAGAACACCGCGCAAAAAAAAAAAAAAAAACACAATCCCTAAATTACCCTTATAAGGAAGACTTGCTTTAAGTGTGTTTGTGGGGTTCTTAAGCAAGTAGCAAGAAACCCTGAACCCTAAACCCTAATACCTGAACCATAGCGAACCACAAACCACAAACCTAAACCCTAAACCCTACTGTAAACTCTAAACCCTAAACCCTAAACCCTAAACCCTAAACCCTAATCCCTAAACCCTAAACCAAAGCAAGCAAAGAAATAGGAACTAGTGCTTCAGCTGCCCAGTGTCCCTTGCGCATCTGGCTCGTTCTTGGCCTGAGGCACACCGAGGATCTTAGGGGTTCAGGTTAGCGGTTTAGGGCTTAGGGTTTAGGGTTTGGGGTTTGGGGTTTAGGGTTTAGGGTTTAGGGTTTGGGGTTTATTTTTGTTAGGTTGGGGTTTGGGGCTTGTGGCTGCAGGAAGCTGCAGCAAGAGAGCTCGTTGCCGATCTAAATGATGGAATTGCTGGTCTAAGCTTTACGGTTTAGGGTTATGAGTTCACGGTTAGGGTTAGAGGTCGCATTCCCCCAAGCCACTTGCAACACCCCTGAACCCCAACCCTAAACTCTAAACTCAACCCTACACTTCCTAGCCCCCCAAAAAAACCCTAAACTCTGCACCCTAGGCCCCGAATCCTGAACCAGACACGAAGCTCTAAACTGATCCCATGGACCAAACCCGTCAGGAGCATTGTCCTTCAGTTCGAGAAGGGTAGTTCTCTCAATCACCCTCCCTTTTGGGGTCCTTCTTCTAAGGGTGCCGCACTATATATAGGCCCCCAACAAGGGCCCCATAGCTAAGAGAACTACCCAGAAGGTCCATGAACCTGCGAATTCCCCTTGCTGCCGTCGGGAGTCGAATTGGGCGATGCCACTCTTGACCTCTCTGACTCACAGCGTGCGTTGTTTTGTCTAAGGGTGGTTGGGGTTGCTTGGGGTTCAAGAAGGTTCAGAGCGGTTTCGCGCTTGCACTCTCATTTTGCTCGTGTGACTGTTACGCTTATTTCATAAAGGCTTGCGGGTGTTGGCTGAAGGAAACCCTAAACCCTCAGGATCAGATGCAAGAGTACCCTATGGCAAAAAACAGGGTACCCTTCAAGAACTTATTGGTCTAAAGGGGCTTATAAGGGAACCTAAACCCGAAAAAAGGGGCTAAGGGCCTACTCCGGGTCCTCGGATGAGGGTGGGATTCATCTCGAAGCTTTAGGGCTTACTGTTTCGGGTGTAGGGTTTAGGTTTAAGATGTTGGGGGATTCTTGGTAGCCCAACAACCATAGTACAACAAGGGCACCCCATTTTTTTGGGTCGGCTACTTGTAGATGCGAACCTGGAACCGACCAAAAGGGCAACAAGGGCTCGGCTGGGCAGCCAAGGACTAGGAGTTCAGGGTTTTGGAGGTTTCGTGGTTCAAGGGACTAAGGGAGGGACCCTTACAAGGGATCTCGGGGGTTAGACCTTTTATTGAGGGTCTAGTTAGGTACATAAGGACTCTAGAAGGAATATATGGGGGGGGTTTATACGGGTTATGCAGGGGGATAAGAGTAAGTTAGGGGTCCCTTCTAGGGGTCCCTCCTTATACCCCTTAAGTGGCCGCCTTCTCCTTCATCTCCTTGTCCTTAGGGTCGATGACCACCTCGGGGGGGAAGCAGAGAGTTCCGGCAAAGGCTAGCAAGCGAGAGACTCCACAGTACCGGGTCTATTGTTTAGGGTTTTAGGTTTAGGGTGGAAGCATACCCAGGGCGAGCTGAGGACGGCCCGCTCACAACATGTGCAGTTTTGTTTTTAGCTTTCGGGTTTCTCAAGGTCCCAGAATTTTTGCTTTGAGGTACTCACGGCCCGGATGGGGCCGATGGGGCAACACCCATGAATCTACACACAAAAAAACAACTAAAGTATACAAAGCATGGCACACGTGCTGAGGTGACGTCATTCGGAGCTGAAATCTGAGGGCATAGGGCTTGCTCCCAGCATCTAGGACCGCCACACTTTAATTCGTCATAGAACAGCTTCGAGTTTGCGAACAGACTGCTGCTGCAAGAGGTACTGTCGGCATGTACTTGCACATTCCAGTGCAAGTTGCCTTTAACCCTAAACCCTAGCAAACGCTGAACATGGGGCGCCTGATGTTCCCGCGGTCTCCGAAACCCGAAACCTGAAACCCTTAACTCCAGATCCCCAACCCACACCCCAACCCCAAACCCCAAACCCTAAATCCTGCACTCCAAATCCTAAACCCCTAAAACCACAAATTCTCCGCCAGCCGGCAGCGCCCATAAATTTGGCGGCCCAGCCGATGCCAGGGATGCCCAGCTGCGACCTAATCTGAGGGCTGCTTAGCGTTTAGGGTTTAGGGTTTAGGGTTTAGGGTTTAGGGTTTAGGGTTTAGGGTTTAGGGTTTAGGGTCTGGGGTTTAGGCTTTAGGGTTTCGGGTAGGGGTTGATTATAGGCTTTATAGGGTCTATAGGGTTTATAGGGTTTGGGTTTTTGTTTTTGCGCGCCGCGGAGCTTGGCCACGCAGCCGCTCATGCCCCAGGTGATGTGGTGGAGGTGGAAAGCCTCACAAAAAGCCGAGGTTGAGGGTGTAGGGTTGAGGGTTGAGGGCTTAGGGTTTAGGGTTAGGATTTAGGGCTTAGGGTTTCGAGTTTTTGGGCTATGGGGTTAGGGTTCAGGGTTTAAGGCGTTGAGGGGTTTTAGCTTCGGGCTTACATCGTAGAGATTTGGGTTGGCGTTTTAGGTGTTTTTGGATCTGGGGTTTAGGTATTTATAGGGGCGTTTCAAAGGATCCAAGGGCTCTTATTGTAGGGCAATTTGAGGACGCTCTCCAACCCCCACACCCTAAACCCTAAACCCTAAACCCTAAACCCTAAACCCCCATCCCTCTAAACCTGGGCTGGATTTGGGAAAAGGGGGGAAGAGGGGGTGCTATAAACATGTAACGGTGCATTTCTACGGGCTATAGTGGACTCAGGGCCTATAGAGCATTAAAAAGCAACTCCAATTCAATGCCTGGAACAGGGATTGCAGATTAGGTTTGGGGTTTGGGGTTTGGGGTCTGAACCCGAAATGAACCGAAATGTCTCTAGATAGGGTTCAACAACCAATTTCTGAACCAAGGAGAAAAACTGGGCCGCGTTTTCCAAAGACCCTTATACCTAAACCCTAAACCCTAAACCCTGAACCCTAAACCCCAAACCCTAAACTCTTATACCTAAAGCTGACTCCGAAACCTTAAGCCCTACGTCTTCAGGAGACATTTTACTGCATGGGGAATCCCAAACCATAAGACCTGGTTTAGGGGTTCAGGGGTTTAGGGGTTTAGGGTTTAGGGTTTAGGGTTTAGGGTAGATCCTCACCGAGTTCAGGGTTCAGGATTTTGAGGTTTTAGTGCTTAGGGCTTTCGGGTTGTGAAGTTTAAACTTTGGTTTCAGGGCTTAGGGTTCCTTAGGGTCTTAGGGTTTTGGGGTTTGGGGGTTTTAGGGGTGCTAGGAGGGTTTTCAGGGTTGTAGGGTTTAGGGTTTTAGGGTTTAAGGTTTGTAGGGTTTAGGGAATTAACCCTAAACCCTAAACCCGAATTCCCCAAAACTTGCAGCGCCTCCACCAGGGAGATGTGGTTCGGCACCTGGGTCGCTCTGAAACGATTGGAAAACACTTCCCGTACATGGCTGTTGGGTTTCAAAGCCCTAAACCCTAAACCCTAAACCCTAAACCCTAAACCCTAGACCCTAAACCCTAAGTCCTAAACTTTAGGGTTTGGGGCTTATCCCTACACCCTAAACCTGAAACCCTCAACCCTGTAGGGGGAAAAGAGGGACAAATATCCCAAAGGACTTCCCGCGAGGCGCCAGGATGGGATGAGAACCTGGCTTCTGGATCCACGCGAGGCGCTCCTTGTTGAAGACCTGGTTTAGGGTTTAGGGTTTAGGGGCTTTGGTGGCTTAGGATTTAGGGCTTCGGGTTTAGAAGGTTAGGGTTCAGGGTTCGGGCTTAGGGTTTAGAAGTTTAAGGTTTAGGATTTGAGTTTTAGATTTAGGGGGTTTGGGAGGGGTTTGGGAGGGGTTTGGGGGCTTAGGGGTTTCGGGGGTTTAGAGGGTTGTTAAGAAAGGTTTGGGGTTTTAGGCGTGTGGGGGTCTGTGTCTCTACAGCATCCGGGTGCGCGCAACCTTAAACCCCAAGCCCTAAACCCTAAACCCTGAACCATCAACCAGGAACTCAGTGCCTCATGGGCCTAATCAACCCGGCTGCCTGACAAATCTCCCCAACAAGCCCCCTGAAACTTAGCTTGGCGTCTGAGGGTTTACAGGATACTGTAGGGGCCTAAAAAATGAGAAAATGTTTGTTTTTTTGTGTTTTGTTGTTTTTTTGGGCTATCATGGTATATTTATAAAGGGACCATAAAGGCAGACCATTAGAAATTATGCTTTGCTCATGGGTTCAAGGTCTATAGATAAAGGGAACCCTCAACTCAACTGGGTTGTCCTAACTACAAGCTTGTTTCGAACCTACTTACTAAGTTCCCCGAATCTTTAAATGGGAGTTAGGATTTCGGGTTTTGAACATTGAAGTGGGAAATTCCAAACCCCTAAGCCCTAGCCCTAAACCACCAAGGCACCTCTGTGACGTAGCAGGCGCAGAAGGTGCACAAAAGCTTCATGAGCGCGTGGAAGATGAGATCCACAACCCCTTGATGTGAGTTTAGGGTTTAGGGTTTAGGGTTTAGGGTTTAGGGTTTAGGGTTTAGGGTTTAGGGTTTAGGGTTTAGGGTTTAGGGTTTAGGGTTTAGGGTTTAGGGCTTGGGGTTTACAAGAAGCTTACCAAAGGCATGGGCAAGTGCAGAGATGCCAAACAAGCCAACACATGCAACAAGCGCCTACATCGACATACTCCCCCTACTATTTTTATACCCTCCCCCCATTACTCTACCTTTGGAGTAGACCCTGAAAAAAAAAGTATATACTTTCCAGGTATAAGTAGCCATAATAGGAACCCAGAACCAAAAAAAGTATTAAAGTACAGTACTCCAAAACCCAGTTACTCTAATCCGCCGACCCGAGCTTTGAGCGGGGGAGGCGCTAGTGAAGACCCATAGTCTTGCCCCCCCCCGCCCCCCCCGCCCCCCCCGCCCCCCCCGCCTCGCCCCGCTCCCCTCGCCCTTCCCACCCCACTCCTGCCCACCCCTCCCGCTGCCTTGCTGTTAGAATGGAGTGTTTTCAAGGGCTCCAGTGCATGCCCGAACCCTCACTTTGCTGCCCCCAGACCCGCCCCCACCCCCGCCCCCCCCGCCCCCCCGCTGCCCCCGCTCCCCCCGCCCTTCCCACCCCCGCCGACCCCCTCCGCTGCCTTGCTGTCAAACTGGCGTGTTTTAAGGGCTCCAGTGCATGCCCCACTCCTGCCCACCCCTCTCGCTGCCTTGCTGTTAGAATGGAGTGTTTTAAGGGCTCCAGTGCATGCCCGAGCCCTCCCTTCGCTGCCCCCGCCCCCCCCGCCCCCCCCGCTCCCCCCCCCGACCCCCTCCGCTGCCTTGCTGTCAGACTGGCGTGTTTTAAGGGGTTTAGTGCCCCACTCCTGCCCACCCTTTCCGCTGCCTTGCTGTTAGAATGGAGTGTTTTTAAGGGCTCCAGTGCATGCCCGAGCCCTCCCTTCGCTGCCCCCGCCCCCCCCGCCCCTCCGCTCCCCCCGCTCCCCCGGCCCTTCCCACCCCTGCTGTTAGAATGGAGTGTTTTCAAGGGCTCCAGTGCATGCCCGAACCCTCCCTTCGCTGCCCCCGCCCCCCCCGCCCCACCCGCTTGCCTTGCTGTCAGACTGGCGTGTTTTAAGGGGTTTAGTGCATGCCCCACTCCTGCCCACCCCTCCCGCTGCCTTGCTGTTAGAATGGAGTGTTTTTAAGGGCTCCAGTGCATGCCCGAGCCCTCCCTTCGCTGCCCCGCCCCCCCC